CTTGTACTTGTCTAGCTGTACCTAATTTCAGCAAGAAATATTCTATTGGTATTTTGAAAGTTGCATGATCCAAGATATTTGGATCTTTACCGTGCCATGATTAACACATAATATGGAATGTTGGAAAAATGTACCTTGCCTGCATTGCTAACTCCACCTTTTATAATTAATATAGCTTAAGATAACTGATAATGCATTTTTCATCACTTGTGGTATTGATTAACTTTGTACCTTTCGCTGTGCTTGTATGATGGAATTAATTTGGTCAACCCCCCCCCATCATGCATTTCTTTTCACTTTCTTCTCATTTTCATTTCCTTGTTCTGATGTACAAGTAACATATTACCACAAATGCTTTCTCAATTCTGCAAATCATATCTACATAACAAGGTATTTATTACATTAATGCTTCAGAGTACCTCAGTTTTCCTCTCACTCTCTTACAGGGAATGAAATAAAATAAGCATATATCTTTCAAAAACACCTATAGTTGCCATGCCTATAATCCCCACTGCTGCAAAGAACCGACGTTCCCAAAACGTTTCCTCTCTGTGCTGAATCAGTAGAAAAAGACAGTGATAAGTCTATATAAGAGCAATGACTAGTAATGAGATTACCAAAGCAGATGAGATGCATTCAGGTTTTCACTGAAAATGGGTTATTAAATAAATTTAATGTTTAAAATGGCACAACGTCCAATTAATGATAGAGGTTGGCTTGTTATACCCTCTCCTCAATAATAGATGAAGCAAGTATAACTCTTTCTACATCCACAGTTCAAGGCCCATGTTTTGTCAGACCTCTTGTCAAATGAGATAATAAACTATAAATTCGCCATTCTCATTCAGACTGTCCGTGAACAATTTCTGATTTTCTCAAGCTGACTCATCCTTCATAGCTATTAGCTGAACGGTTGCGGAAAGCGATTCTCTGCCCCGGGACTGTACACACACGTATTTCATTTGTAACATTTCTACGGTTTTGGTTAGTTTCGAACAGACACACAGACCACAGAGTATTGTTTCTATTCCTAAACTGGAAGAGAACAGCTAGACACATCTATAATTTCAAACCTTGTGTTTCACAAATATTACCTACTGTGCAATTAACATTTGCAGCTCCTCAAACATTATTACCGTTGCTCACATTTGGTGGGTTAGTCATAGGAGCTATAGATAAAAGGGGACATGAGTGAATAGTCACAGAAATATTTTCAGTTATTTGTAGTGCTTTGATTTGGTTTCAAAGTCTGTAAGAGTCACGGAAATCTTTTCTTCTGCCCACTTTGTGCCGGACAATTCATGTGTGGTTTTCAGCAACTCCCTTGTGAGGCAGCACCTCTAAGCCCTGGCAGGCACAGACGCGCTTTCTGAAGTCGGTGAGAAAAGCACCTTTGTCTCTAACCGAAACCGAAAGAGAAGCTGGAGCAGAACTCTGACCAATGACAGTTGACTACTGATGACCGATCCGTAGTGACAAGCGTAAAATATGCTCACAGTTAAAGAGAAGATAGACCCAAAAGGAAAACACCATGGTAAATTAGGAGCATTGACCTTGGGGAGGAGACAGAATGGCCTTCCTGGAGCTTCTCTTGTTGGCTTCTTACCTTGCACCTTCAGCCTAACCCTCAATTTAGCAGGCTAAATGTGTCTCTCCTGTTTCTTTACAAATACAACATGTTAAAGTGCTTTTGAGTTGCTGCCATATAGCATGCCAAAACTTATCGACTGATTTCACCACTTAGGAGCGCAATTTGCATTCAGCAATGAAATAGTTGAATTTTTAAGGTATTTTGTTGTTAACTTGCAATTAAGATGGCAGGCTGCTTGCCCAGCAATGTCCTACGCATTATATATGGCAAAAGTTCTTATAAAAATCTAGGAGCTGGCCACAGTCTTGTGCTGCTTGTCTTGCACATGCCAGAAATATTGTATGATACTAAGCACTGGATGAGCTTGCATAACAGACAGCTGTGTCTATACTCAGGTTTAATAGGGAGCAAGGCACAGCAATATTATTCCTCCATTCCCTTTCCTGACTCTCTCTCTCTCTCTTTTGCCTACATAAATATTTTCTGGTCCTATACAGAAAAGAAGTGGGTACCCACTACCAAACAGGTAAGATAGCGAGGACTGGAAAAAGCTATCTATGTCACAGCAGCACAAACAAATATGTGGACTATGCTCAGCAAAGCTATAAAGCTTTTGTTATATATTATCTTGTTATATACTTTCTTGTTATACCATTGGCCTGGTATATTAGGCATACCATTAGCCTGAACCCAGATACTATTCACTTAAACATATTTTTAAGGATTGTATCCCTTTTTGTACTGGTTTATTCAGAGATGACACAGCACGTAGTTCAGAACTGCACATCTAAGCAGATACTGCTTGAGATGCAATTGCTCTTCTGCGCTTCAGGCTACGTTTTCATTTAGTCATGACGGCATATCCAACAGTTTATATCTTTTGCTTTCTGCTGGGCAATAACTTTACTATGCTCCATTTATTAAAGTGGTGGATATCGCTTTGTGGAACTGCTGTTGAGAATGTGCTAAAAGGCATTGCTACATTGAAAGCAAAGAGACTGCTGTCAGTTTTGTGTTCCTTGTTTTTTAGCGGAGATGTGTTTAAGAGTACTTTTAAAGTTCAATATTATTGTAAACAGAATTTGTCCAGCTATAACCTGAAGCTACATCTGAGCAAGAAAGACTAAAAATGTCCTAACCAAAGATAGCAAGCGCTTTAGCTGCTTAAGAGAATTATAACGTAACAATCCCCTGTGCAACTGGGAACAATTATTTTAGTCATTTAAGAAGTTCTCTCAACTTCAGAGTTAAGTCTGGCTCGATGATTAAAATACAGGGCAAGGAACCAGGAGGCATAAGCTGGTTCCATTTTCAGCTTTAGCACTGTGACTCACTGTGTGATATTAAGTCATTTAATTTAACTGTCTCACTCTCTGTCTCACCTGTAAAATGAGGGAACCCACCTCACAAGTTCTGTGTGAGATTAATTAATTAAACATTTGCTGCTCACCTAAAAGTTCTTGGATGGAAGGTGGCAGAAAATTTATTATTAAACACATATGTAAACAGGATACAAGAGCAGAGCTGGGCAGTTTCTATAAAGGAAACGCACATCTCTTTCATCTGTGAATTTTTTAACCATGACAACAAAATAATTAACTACAGAAAAACCTGCCGGTGAAGCCCTTGACGAGAGTTTATAAATTGGAAAAACGTATAGCCACAAACGAGACACTGACTAAACTATAACTAACAGTAAAAATAAATGGTCATTCTTTAGTAGGGCACATAGTTCAAAGACTAAGGTAAACGTTCCCTGTTATGATCCATGAGCACATTTACCTCTAAGGGGAATGAAAAGCAGCGCTTGGTTGACATGCATCTTTATCAGGAGGCTCTAGTAGAGGTCACTGTCGGAGGCAGACTTCGGCAGTAGATGGGCTAATTATCGCGCCGAGTACAAAACTCTCAACTTTACTTAAACTAGGCAAGCAGCTCACTAGCCCATTTTTAGTATCTTTCCACTCTTACCATAACCACGTTGCAGGAAATGGCAGGAAATTAACTCTGTCAGCAATAGAAGAGGGTCCAGCAGCCTTTAAATTGAAGGTGATTCTCCACCGTACATTTCTTTACTGGAAAGCTCACAATAGGGCTAAAATAATGAAAAGCAACTAACGTTGTTGTGTCAATGAGATGATCAAAACCACAGTGAGCAAACAAAAAAATGGATAAAGTAGCGTGATCAATGACATGTTCAAGGGCGACACGTTCCCTGTATGGTTGCTTGTATCACCAAAGACTGTCTGGGGAAAAGGCACAACAGATTGGCACTTTTCCGAAGCCAGTTATTGTTATCTTATTTATTCACAAAAACAGCACTAGAGCTTTCTGTTGGTTCCACTCAAAACAGAGCGAGGCCTTCATGTAAAGTGCGATCCCTACTTTGTTTCACAAACCTTTTACAAACCTTTGGAGTGAAGTTGGTGTGTGTTACTCTACGACAGCAGTGTTCACAGGAAAAACCCAAGGCTTCTGTCCCTTTAAGAGCAACTTTCCATCTGAATACATAACTTCTACAATATAATTTGGTAGATATACATGCAGATGGATTATTCACTTTAATTATAACATTCTTTATGCTGTGAATTCTGGAACATTATACTATTAAGCTATTTACATTTCACAAATATAACTATAAATATATAGTTTGTGTAACTAGTTTCTACTAAGTTAGCATTGCAGAGACATCGAAGATAAAAATTTAGACCCTCCCTCAGAATGGCAGAGACTTTACATTTAGCCCTTCTTTCATTCTGTGTTACAGAGCTAAAAGGCTAAGATGGAAGAGCACAGAAATAACAACAAGAACAACGACAAAAAGATTATGCAGTTATACTAAAAAGAGCCAATGACTCACTGTTAATATGTTTACTTGGCCTGTATGGCTTAGGGATGAGCAGGGATTACTACAGGAAACTAGCTCTTCTATTCTCTTTTTTTTGTTGTTGTTTATTACTAGCTAGCACTACTGCATTCATGAAGTCAAACATAATTAAGAATAAACAAGAGATACGTGTCATATAGCGTTAATACAATGCCACGTGCTCACTCAGGGCTGCTTGCGTGTACATTTAGCAGTTGTTTTTTCCTGTCTGTCCACAGCGAATGCTATATTGCCTTGCCGAGTAAATGCACCTTGTACCCCTCCTGCAACTAGCACCTACCCATAGTCCAGTCTTGGCACCCTGGGAGCCTCCTCCATTGCTCTATCCTGTTTGCTCACCCCAGGTGGGCCAGGAATCGCCTTTCTCTTCTCACTTCAGTGATGGGAAATAAAAGTGTGTTCTCCCTTCACTTGCCTTTGCGTCCTTAACTACGCCCGTACATAAATAGATACGTGCATGATCTTCCCCTGATGCAACTCGACAAGCTGGACTGACTGTTTGCTTTCTTAGCTGATACTCACTGTGCTTGGCGGGGTCGTCGGTCCTAGAGCAGCTCTTTCTTTGGGAGCGGGAACAAGGCAGGCAGAGGCAGCTCCACAACACTGCTCCACACCAGTTCACAGGATGACTGTGGCTGGACTCCTCCTAGTGCCTCAGAAAGCTGCAAGAAAAGGGAAGGGCTCAGGATATGATATCATGTGCTCATTCTGAAAACAAGGAAACTGTCGGAGATGATTGAAAAAGTAACAGCTTCAAAAATTCCTGAATGGCTGATGTCAGAAAAGTACTTTTCTGCTTCCCCCTCCCTGCCCTCTAATGAAAAGTTACAATAAATTCAAATGACAAACTTAGAAAACAATATTTACACTGCTACTAGGACTAGCCTAAAAGATGCATTACGGCTGAGCAACCTCAGAGCGCAGTTTACTGCTCTATGTCACTGTTCGTTGTCTGTGCTTATGTCTGATCTTAGGCTTTGATTTTGTTCCTGGAGCTATTCAGGCATATATTCCTGCCAGCCCCCAGCAATGTTGCCCCTCTGTAGCCGCTGTTGGGTTCGACCACAAGGACCCATGCGTAGCCATTCCTTGGCAGTACCCTGACCTGTTTATTGCCTTTCGCAGTGGAAGTAAAACCTTTATAAAGCACCCAAGTGGCTTGGGAATCTCGTTAAGATTTTTCTAAAGCAACGTAAGCAAATAGGCTTGTAAATCTCACTGAAAATCACTGTGGTTTTGCTAGGGCAAATTTTATCCCCTAGATCCCTTTCTAATTTAAAGCCTACTTTAGAAAAAATAACCCATTTACAATGCTATATCATTACAAATCTATTTCCCAAATCATCATTTATAGCCCTTAAAAAAGAAAAAAAAAACATTTTGAAGCAAAGCACATGTTCTAACTCAGCACAATTGTTCTTAACCTGGATTTAGCTTTGAAGTTTGCTGTTTCTATTTCAGATCCAAAGAAGCACCTGCATGCCTGGAAGCTCGTCTGTTCTTTCCAGCTTTATCAATAGGTCTAATAAGTCACTCATTTTTTCTCTCAAATTGTCAGGATATTTTTGTTTTTGTTATGATCTCATAATACACTCTCAGCGGAAAATTTAGTACAGCCTTCGAGCACATAACATTTTTATGTTGTGTTTGGAATTGCTAAATTCTGTTATTGCTTTGTGCTTGCCTTTCCAATCTTTTTTTTTGTGTTAATTTTTTTTTTTTTTAATGCAATTCATCTCAGATTCAGCATGAAGCCACCCATGAGTTTAGGACAGAGTGATATACTAGAGGTCACTATCATTTTCAAGCGCCTGTATTGGTTTTTGGTTTAAATACAAGCTTGGACTGGGGGAACCTTATCATACTAAAGCAGTTTAGTGATTGGGCTTTGCACGTTTCACTATTTGTCAGCCCAGCCCTTTCTACTCAGCTGTGCAAGAGGGTGTCGCTCTCTCAGTTCTGTTGTTTGAACAGAAATGTTTTGGTGCCAGGTTTCTTGTTCTGTTTGTGCCCTTTGCTAGCGGACTTTCAATTTCAGGAACTTGTTTTAGTGGAAGAACTATACTTAATAGTTATTAAACAACTGTTGGTATTATCAATGCTTGTTCATCTAATGGTGATATGTCCCCTAAATAAACCTTCGAAAAGCACTAGTAGTAAAATCAACTGAAAGACACAAACATTTTGTTCCTAAAGATTCTAGGGACCTTTCCAATTATTTGTAGGTCAGAATCAAGTATTAATCATCCTTAGTTGCTCTTGGCAGTAAAGGCTAGTGCTATCTTAGATTGGGCAAACAATAAATTGTGGGTGAGGTTGAGGAGTTTGAATCAAGATCAGTAAGTACATTCGCTTTTGTAGAATTCGAGGGTTCTCCTGTCAAAAATTGGAATACATTTCTGTTCCTGTTGATTTTTAGTAGGATTGTAAACCCTGCACGTACCCTTACCCAGTAGATGATAGGTTTCAGAAGACACCCCAAAACTGTCTAGACTTGTCACAGGTCTGGGTTCAGTTTGGACATTTCAGATTTCTGGTCATTTGTCAGGTATCTACACAGTAAAACTCCAACTATAATTGGTTGTGTGTGTGTGTGTGTGTGTGTGTGTGTGTTGTCTATACTCTTAAATGCTCAGAGGACGATGGAGCTGGAACTGCTGCTTGCAATGAAGGGGGCAGAGGTACTGCCGGTCTGTTCTCACTCCTCTCCTGCCCCACAGGATGACTCTACAGCAAGGTTCTGGCTGCGCCACCTTAGTCATTACTCCGCCTGAGCTCTGCAGAGGTGGAGGTGCTGCCTGCATCCTGTTCCCATCTCAATCTGCAGGAAATAACATAGGTAGTATCTCAGCATAGTCTCTTTGAGGATATTTTGAAGAGAAGATACACATTAGTAATCAGCCTTGAGTCTGGACAGGTGAAGGAAGCCTAGAGTAACCACAAACATTGAGTCTGTCCTTGATTCTTTACTGATTTTACGTCCATCTGACTCCTTGGATTACCTCAGTGCAAGCAAGATGAGAAGCAGACTAATTGTGCACAATTCTAGTTTGTTTGCCTTGTATTCCTTTTTTTCTTGTCAGAAGACCATCTTTCTTTCTCTTATATTCTTGTGTGTTTCCTCTTCTCCCTATTTTCCTTCAAGACTTAATTATAATTACAGAATCATAAATAATTTTGGTTAGAAGGAACCTTTGGAGATCATCTGGTCCAATCCCCACTTGAAACAGGGCTAACTTCAATGTTAGGTCAGTTTGCCCAGGGCCTTGTCAAGCCCAGGTCTGAATAATCTCCAAGGCTGGAGATTCCCCAGTCTCACTGGGCAACCTATTGAAGGGTTTGGCCACCCTCACTGTGAAGAGATTTTTTCTGTATATTTACCTTGAATTTCTCTTGCTGCAATTGTGTGTGTTGCTTTTCAGCCTTTCACTGTGCAACTCTGAGAATAGTCTGGCTCCATCCACTAAGCAGTAGAAGGCAATAATTATATGCCTCCTCAGCCTTCTCTTCTTCAGGCTGATCAAAGACAGCTCTCAGCTATGTCAGATGCTCTAGACACATAACCATCTTGGAGGCCCTCCGCTGGACTTGTTCCAATTTGTCAATCTCTCTTGTACTGAAGAGCTCAAAACTGGACATAGTTCTCCAGATATCATCTCACAAATGCTAAATAGAAAGGAATAATCACTTCACTCAACCACTTGACTGTACTCTTAGTAATGCAGCCTAGTAAACAGTCTTCATCACCACAAGGGCATGCTGTTGACTAGTGTTCAGTTTGTGGCCCATCAGAAACCCCAGATGCCTTTTTGCAGAAAAAAGTTTCTATTTTGCTAGTTGGCCCTGGCCTATTGCATGGGGTTATTCTGTTGATGGTGCAGGACATTGCATTTGCCCTTCATGAGATTTCTGACAACTCCTTTCTTCAGCCTGTCAAGATCCTTCTGAACAGCAGCCTTGCACTCCAGCACGTTGACTGTTCTCTCAATTTGGTGGTCATCTGTGAACTTGCTGAGTTCCTAAGTAGTGCCTGTGCTGGTTCTTGAATTACCACTGGACTTTAATGTAACAGGTTTATCAGAAATTCTAAGTGCTCATTGCTGTATGTTGTGAGACCTTGTACCATATGAACGGTGCTGTCTAATTTAATGTTTTGCAGTGTTATTATTTATATAGGTGATAGAAATGTGAGCAGATGTTTCTTAGAACTCAGCATTTTGATGCCAGTCCATGCAAAGGGTAACTCGCCTTCCTCTGTAAACATACAAGACTGTGGATGTTTCCCCGTGTTAACATATGGTATCTGGTAGACAGCCTGGATGGGGAGGTAGTTTGATGCTTGGGAAGGAAGTTGGAGGGAACCACAATAGGTGGAATGAGGAAAAACTGAGACTGTAGTGTTATAGACGGCAGTAGGAGAGAGAGCGGTGAGTAGCAGGAAAAGGGATCATGGCAGGGAAGGAAAGAAGAAAGGGATGCTTTCAGGCCAAGGAAGGTGGTGTGTGGGAGGATAACTTGGATGACCAGAAGGCAGCAGGACCATAATTAAAATGGTCACCACCTCCAGATTTGGGTACCTCTTACATCCCTAAATAAATCTTCAACCTTGTGCCATAGCTAAAAATACCTTGGCAGTGCTGGCAAGAAGTTGATTACAGGAGCCTGCAGATCATTCTGCTTTCTTAGGTTCCTTGTGCAATTTCAGTCGGATAGTACAGATCACATTTAAAATACTGCAAATATTTTGGTCTGCAGTTGTGTTCTTTTCCAAAGAAAGTTGCAAGTGGCACAGATCCTGCAGCATACAAACACAGACACACATGATATTTATACTGATGCATACATATATGTATTTAAACTCAGTTTAGATCACCGTTAACTCTCAAAGATCCCTGGACTGAAAGGTGCTTTATAAACATATGCTAAGATTGTTACTCACGATAGCACTGAGGAGTTGGAGCAATCATTAGAAATTTTAACAATGAGCACTAGGAAGCGTAAATCATTTACCAGCATTAATAAAAAAGAAAAGAAAATAAACTAGAGAAGAATTACTTTTCCTTTGGTGATTATTTCATTGCTCAGAACAAAAATCAGTGCGACTGTTAAAATGCTTTCAGGTGTCCTAAAGCACTGCTGTCCTAAAGTACTGCTTTTTGCAGTAGCAGAAAGCAAAGTGGAATATGGATATCTGAAAAGAGGGAAACAGACTTAGACAAGGGTGAGATGAGTTTGTATTCCTAGGAACTGAAGTCTAGGTGGTTTAGAATGGAATGGGAAAATATTACAGAAATCATGCTTAGTGACGTAAACATGTTAACTGATTAATTCTCACAGTAACCTTGGGAATTAGGGAACGTTTATGCCTTTTTGACAGATGGAGAAACACGGACACAAAAGGCTAAGTTCATACCAAGATCTTTGCCAGCTTCTCTCAAGCAGCTTGCAAGGCAGAAGATCCTTCCCTGCAGAAAGCCTACAGCTACGGATACTTCTCCAGGTTTCCCTCTGTTTCTATGGGAGAACAGAGAGGGTCGAAGTTGTTCCAGCTCTGCAACAGACTTAGGTGTGACGGATGTCAGGTGCTGAATCCCTGCTCTCCCATTTACCCTTTCCACTAACGGTCTGTGCAAGAAATGTCCCAGC